CGGGGGGGGGGGGGGGGGGGACTGCAGCATCGGGCCGACGTGCATATCCGGCGGCGGCTGGGTTCTTCTTCATATAGTCGGCATAGTCATCGCCCTTCCAGCCATATGACAGATCATCATAGAACGCGACCCTACTCTGCCCTTACCCCGCCATGTCAGGTTTCAACGGTGGCGCTCCCTCGTAATAGAGCAAAAACTAGGCATTTAGATAGTCTCATATAGTTGTAGTTGCAACATCTTCATCTCCTTGCATTATACCGACCGGCCTATTCAATAAAACCACAGCATGGCGTCAGCAGTCAGCACTGCTGGTAACCGGGAGCCTGAACTATGCCAGCTCGCTAATGAGGATTACACCGTTGGCTGGATCTGTGCCCTGACAACCGAATACGTCGCCGCACAGGTTTTCCTTGACCAGAAGCACGCACCACCTCTCTACATCGCCACTCATGACAACAACGATTACACGCTGGGCCGTACCGGGAGGCACAATATTGTTATTGCTGTACTTCCAGGGGAAGAATACGGCACAGCATCGGCCGCTAGCGTGGCGCGCGACTTGCTCCATTTCTTCTCAAACATACGAATTGGGCTCATGGTTGGCATTGGGGGCGGTGCACCAAGTTCAAAGCACGATATCTGGCTTGGCGATGTTGTCGTTAGCCAGCCCAGCAATGGTCTGGGAGGCGTCTTTCAATACGACTTTGGAAAAACCATACAAGACCAGCAATTTAAGAACACCGGTTTTTTAGCCCCACCGCCGCCGCTCCTACGTACCGCTCTCAATGGTTTAAAGGCCGAATATGAGATCAACGGCCATACTATTCAAAACGCCATTGAGGCTATTTTGATGACGAAAAAGAAGCTCCGAAAGAAATATAGCCGCCCTGACACAGAGACAGACCGATTATACCACTCAGACGTCGTTCATCCGCTACGCGAAGAGCCGTGCGTAAGGAGTTGTGGAAGCGATGCCGGTTCTGTGATCCTACGTCCTGTCCGGGATGAGGATGAAGATGATTACACTATGGATTGATCGCCTCGGCGAACCAGTTGATGAAAGATGCAAAGCTTCGAGATCAATTTGCGAGAGAAAAAGAAGTCTTGTGCTTCGAGAGGGAAGCAGGCGGGCTAATGAATCACTTTCCGTGTCTGGTCATTCGAGGGATTTGCGATTACTCCGACACGCATAATAGCAAGGAGTGGCAAGGCTACGCGGCGATGACAGCATCGGCATATGCTAAGGATCTTCTCAAAAGGATTTCGCCTAATAGAATCGAGGCGGAGAAGACTCTCCAGGCTGCTTCAGAAGGACATGAGGGTATTGTGCAGATGTTGATTCAAAATGGCGCCAATGTGAACATGCAAGGCGGCTACTATCGCAATGCTCTTCAGGCTGCTTTAAAGGGAGGGCATCAGGACATTGTGCAACTATTAGTCAATAGTGGTGCAGGAGATACAGCAAGTCAATAATAGAGTACCTTGTTATCTCTTGAAGTAAAATTAGAAGAGACTTGATAGTTACTGTCTGTTAAATAGTGAGTAACCTTTTGTCAGGGTCCTATTAGGGCACCTGCTAGAGCCCCTACGTTGTATGTGTCAGGTGCGTATGAGCACCTATATAATAGCGAGCTGCCGCCGAGCTCTCTACGAGGAGGCAGCGATAATTCCACATTTATAAAAATACAAAAGGGATCATTACGTGACTGGAGTCCTCCGAGCGAAGCACCTCACACCTTTGCATTCACCAGGGCTTGATTCTCCTTGAACGGCTCCAATACGCCCTGCGCAAACGACTCCTATATTTTCATAGCTAGGGTTGGGGGCTTTGCAGGCTTCTAAGGGAATGGAGCATACACACACTTACAATGTATTCTAAGTTAATATCAGTGTGGCTACATAGCATCCTCTTAGACTGGGGGGATAGCGCAAAGCTCTCGGGTTTTGCAACGTCCTCCATCACTCTATTTTATAGAGTGAATACATCCAAATCCTCAAAAAGTCGGGTCGCAGAGACATGATAGTCTTGCGACTTTCTTCCGCAAGAGCCTTTTCTCCTCACATTACATTTATCTAACCCGGGGCGCACCTAAGTTCGGATATACAGGTCACAACATCAGATACCACGCATCCATAATTGGGAGTGCCAGGCCGAAAATGGAACTCAGGATAACGACATACTGACTTTTGCCTATACTTGTCTTCACAGATGGTTTAGATGAAATCTTTTAGGAACAGCAAGCACAAAATCTATTCATCATCATAATAATATCGAGAATGGTAAGGTAAACGCGGACATGGATAATGTCGATAGAACCGATAACGATCAGAGCGATGCGGGACAAACAGGGCCGCTAGGTCAATCAGCAAACTTGAAAGGAGGCCGGCATCCTTGGACAATAGGCCTAAATTTGTGGCCATGCGATGATAACGGGTCGCCCTTGCATACTCATACTGAAGAAAGTACTTGATCGGCGTGTGAAACCCGTCGGTTCCGGCCCTGATCCAGTCTTTAACTTGCCAGTGGAGCAACATAACTTCTCTGAATGCACCAGCTATCATTAGCGAACAACGAGCTTTCAAGCATCAAGCGGTATACATACAGATGATCGCGGTGTCCTCTCCACTTGCCTGTTGCAGAACGCTTCAGGGTGTACCGGTGCCAGTGGCGACTCAAAGCGTAGTGCAGAACTTGCCTAACCGTAGTAGAACGGCCCATCCACGTGTAGGTCTCTTTATTGACGCGCAGTCTCGACGGGTGGGAGAGGTATGCTTCCCGGATAACCTTGAGCGTGAGCAGCCCCGGCTCTCCGGTTTTGGGGTGCGGCAGATATTCGAAGCCCAGTCGAACGCTACGCTCGGCGCACATGAGCATGAGAAACTATACGTTGCTGCCGGTATCTGCCGAGACCTCACGTGCGTCCAGCTGCTAGCAATGAACTTGAAGTTTTGTCACAATTCAGTCAAGGAAGTCGGCACCGTATTCGACGCCGTTGTCATGAAAATTATCTTGAGTGAGCTCATACGAGTCAGAAGACATGGTGGGTCAGAGGGTATCTTGTGAGATCGAAATGAGAGTTAGAAGAAATTGAATGGTAAGTTTTTGTGAGTGGGAGGACGCGATAAAGTCCAGAAACGAAGTTAGAAGCAGGCGGCTCTTATATATGAGTCAGGATATCGGGTGCGACCTGCCAGTCTACACGACATACCAACACAGCTCCCCCCGGTCATTTAGCTGGAACAGTCACCGAAAAGATACCTCTACAAAGGGATACGGGTGGCAATATTTCATAATGCTTGGCCTGTGTTGTACGGCCTAACTCTGGTATTTGGTACGCATGAGTTGTTGGGGGCGGCTCGAGGGCTGCTGTCATGCTGGCACGTAAAAGTCTGCTTCCAGTGCGTGGGAATAACGTTGTAAATGTGCCTAGATACGCTCTTAATCTTTCTATTAATATTTATAGGACCATGCGAGAGTCGAGTGTGGCGTGGCAAGACACTGGTGTTCTTGGCTTTTATGCTGCCTGGATGCGGATATTTTTGTTCTGCAAGTGAGATGGTTACTCCCACTTGGTCTGGTGTATAAACATAGCTCGTCACTATGAGTAACCGCTTCCCTGTGAACAGGAAAACTGACCGTGATGATATATATTAAAGTGGCAAAACTGTGCCATGAAGCATTACGAGGGTTATATAGGGTTACACTCGAGAAAGTGAGTGCTTTACCAGGGAGCACAGTCATTAATTCTTGATACCTGGGCGGGAAGTGCCAAGTTTGCCTATTTACTGTAAATTCACGTAAAGTTCAATTATTATGCAACGTCCGTGCTGGACAACCAGCCTCCACGGCATGCCGCTGAGTCTCGCTCCATTTGACGCTCTTGTTGGTCTGTACCTCCTGTCCGCCACCAATTTTTGTTAGTCGCATGCACCTTAGACTTGACATCGACGGTTCCTTTTTTATTTTCGTCATTGGGCAAAGTCAAAGAGCTTACGCGACTCTTGTTTCCTTATCGGCCGCATGCAGTCGGTGGTACCGGCCTTGATATGTAGGGTCATCCCGGTCCCTATCATATTTGTATGTATGTATGTTTGTATGTATGTATGTTTGTATGTATGTATGTTTGTATGTATGTATGTTTGTATGTATGTATGTTTGTATGTATGTATGTTTGTATGTATGTATGTTTGTATGTATGTATGTTTGTATGTATGTATGTTTGTATGTATGTATGTTTGTATGTATGTATGTTTGTATGTATGTATGTTTGTATGTATGTATGTTTGTATGTATGTATGTTTGTATGTATGTATGTTTGTATGTATGTATGTTTGTATGTATGTATGTTTGTATGTATGTATGTTTGTATGTATGTATGTTTGTATGTATGTATGTTTGTATGTATGTATGTTTGTATGTATGTATGTTTGTATGTATGTATGTTTGTATGTATGTATGTTTGTATGTATGTATGTTTGTATGTATGTATGTTTGTATGTATGTATGTTTGTATGTATGTATGTTTGTATGTATGTATGTTTGTATGTATGTATGTTTGTATGTATGTATGTTTGTATGTATGTATGTTTGTATGTATGTATGTTTGTATGTATGTATGTTTGTATGTATGTATGTTTGTATGTATGTATGTTTGTATGTATGTATGTTTGTATGTATGTATGTTTGTATGTATGTATGTTTGTATGTATGTATGTTTGTATGTATGTATGTTTGTATGTTTGTATGTATGTATGTTTGTATGTATGTATGTTTGTATGCATGTGTGTGTGTGTGTATGTACGATTTTCTCCGCCACTTGAATCATCTTAACGTATTTATCGTCTCCTAGTCTATTCATGATTGCTCAGTACGTCGGCGTTGCATCAGCAGCCAGGCGCATGATACCTTGCCGCCATCGAAATCGGGCGCATTTGCTCAGTAAATTCGGGACCGAAAAGTTCCTTGTGGAGGGTTTTGGCGAACTTTGCCCCTGGGAGGCCGAATTGGTGGGCCAGGGGATATTCCTCCAGCACACGAGGATAGACGCCAGCGAAACTCCAATCGAGAATCGCGACCGGCTCGCCTAGCTTGTTGCGGAAATCCCCGAGGTTGCAGTGGCAGATGTGCAGAGGCCCCCCTTGCAGCGAGACACGGGCCGCGTGGCGGCGGCTCTTCTCCAGAACGCCATTTGCCCAGCTGGCCACGTCCTTGAAGGGCCTGCCCGTGCCGGTGCCAAACTCGGAGAAGAAGGTGTCCTCGGGCGGATGCAGCAGCACCGGGCCGACAGGCGCATCCGGCGGCAGCGGGAGCTCCCAGACGTGGCGCACGGCAGTCGCGATGGCCTGGAGGGCCTGCTTGGCGGTATCGGGGTTCTTTATTTTGTAGTCGACGTAGTCGTCGCCCTTGATGTTCTCCATGACTATGTAGGTGATGGGCTCGCCGTTGGAGTCGCGCGGTGAGACGAAGTCGTCGAAGACCTTGGGGATGCGGGCGATGCGAGGATCGGCGTGCTTGGGGACATGTCGCTGCATGGCCGCCTCGGCCAAGCTCACGCCGACAACGTAGGTGACCCAGACCTTGTTGTCAAAGTCAAGCTCGGAGCGCGCAAACCTTGTCTTGGTGCATCGGGCTTTGACGGCCTCGCGTGCCGGGATGTGTACTATCACGGCTGCGATTGCGACCTGATACGTTTAGAGCTACGAAAAAGAAGGTATACTTGTCGAACAAAGAAAATAGATGGGGCGGGTAGTCTGCCGATGCCTCGATATACGTATTCGCAACAGACTGCGGCCTAATCGTCGTGTTACTATTGACGGGCTCGGCTAGCAGGCAAACACAAGCAACAGTGACTTTGCCGTCACATATTCGGTAAACAATATTATCAACTTGAAGAACCAACGTTACAGTGCTAGAATAAATACAAATCCCGCCATCCATGAAATACTCAGTTTCCATTTCCCGCACTGCGTTTCGCAACCCGCCCAAGAAGCACGTGCAGCGACAGATACGCAACCACGCCCGTCAGGCACATGCCGCTGATGACGCCGAAGCCCGTCAGGTACTTGGGCGCGTCCTTGGAGGGGAACAGGTATGCGCCGTAGATCTGGGCCAGGTTGCCCATGGCGTTGACGAGCGCCAGGCTCACGGCCTTGGTCTCGTTGGCCATGGACGCAAAGGTGACGGAGGCGTAGGAGAGCGCGAGGCCGTTGGACGCCCACAGGCCAGAGGCCATGATGACAAGGAGGGCGTAGCGGGCCTTGACGTTGTAGACGGCGCAGATGATGATGGAGCAGAGCATGGCGACGGACATCATGGCAGCGAGCATGACGCCGCGCCACCGCGAGTTCTTGTCGGCGACGTAGCCGACGACGGCGGTGGTGACGAAGGCGACGCCGAAGATGGGGATGGTCATGTACTGCGCGTCCTTGGCCTGGTAGCCGAGGCCGTTGACGAGGGTCGGATAGAAATAGGACAGGGTAGAGGATCCGACAATGGCCTGGGGAGAGAAGAAGTTAGTGTTGGAGCCATTGACCAGATGTTGGATGCACTCACCATATAGCCAACCACCAGCAACCAGGTCCTCCAGTTGACCACGCTCAGCTTCAGCGCCTGCAGGTGGGTGAGGTTCGGCTGCTCCTCCGTCGGGTGACTTCTTGCGTCCACCTGCAACCTGCGGATCGCCAGGCTCCTCTCCTCCTTGCTCAACTTGCGCGCCGACGTGTTGCTCGGAAAGTCCGGCAGGATAAACCACGCCAGCATCGCCACCACCATGGTCCCCGCGCCCTCGACGATGAACAGCCAGCGCCAGCCCTGGATGCCGTGGACGTCGTGCAGGCCGGTGGTGATGGAGCCGGCGAGCAGGCCGCCAAAGGCGCCGGAGAGGATGGCGGCGGAGATGTAGACGGCGAAGCGGCGGCTCTGCTCCTCGCGGCGGTACCACGAGGACAGGATCATGAGCATGCCGGGGGCGAAGCCGGACTCGAGCAGGCCCATGACGAAGCGGAAGGCGACGAGGCCGCCGTAGGACGGGGTGAAGGCCATGCCGATGGTGACGGCGCCCCAGAGGAACATGATGGTGGCGAGGTAGCGGCTGGGCCGGGTGCGGGTGAGGATCATGTTGGAGGGCACCTCGAAGACGACGTAGCTGACGAAGAAGACGGTCAGGGCGACCGAGTACTTGTTGGAGTCGAGGTTGAGGTCCTTGTCCATGCCGGCAATCTTGGCGTTTCCGATGCTGGAGGGGGGCAGTGGTAAGCAATGAACGGTGAGTGAGCATCGTTAAATAGGAAAGACGTACTTGGTTCGGTCCATGTAGGACAGCAGGTACATGAGCCACATGCATGGCAGAATGTACAGGTCAATCTTGCGGACGAGCTTCTTCTCTCGCTCCAGCTCCTCTGGAGTGAGGGGTAAGGTATCCATGACGGACGAGTCCTCGGATGTCTCAAGGACATCGTGGTGCTCGTAGCTCTCCTGCTTCTCCATTGTGATATGAGATGAGATGGATGATGAGTAAGTATATGTAAGAGTTGGTGGATGGAGTGGACCGAAACACAAGGTATCTCGAGATTGTCAAAACTCAACGACCCAGTGCCATCTTTATCAAGTTTTTTTTTTTCTTTACTTTGTCCCGTGTCACCGTCGCGCAGCCAAGAGCCGGAAAAGACCACGAGAGCGGAATGGTCTCATGGCTGAACAGCCCAGCGCGTATTGTGGTTGATGTGCCGATCAAAACGTTGGAGGAAATCGCGGGGACTCTGCCATTCAATAATCTTGGAAGCTAAGGTTTTCTGGGGAAGTTTGTGGAGGAGCCGGGGATGAGGACGGCGTCTCGCGCACCAGCAGGGTTGCGCCTCCTCCCACTATGGACTGGAGGCCGCGTCTCGGGGTCATTCAATAGCCTGGACGCCACCTGCATGGGGAAAGAAGAGGCTTGCCGCGACTCGTGTAAGTCGAAATTGGTTCGACTTTGGATTCGGCTTCTGCCATCGGCTAACAGGCATCCGGGCGCGACCTTGTTAACGGTATTTAATCGCAGCAGGGGAAATTAAGATGAGGTTGTTTCCATCTTTCAACATTCACAATTTCATTTCACATTACAATAGACATATATCAACACACTCGACACAATGGTTGCAGCAGCCAACGGCGCAATTGGGCACGACGAAAGCGTCTCGCCCCAGCCCACAACCCTGAGCACCCTCCCTGGGCCTGATCACGACTGGAGCGTGAATCTCAAGGACAAGGTCATCACCAGTGAGTCTCCCTCTCCATAACAACGGTCAAGGCGTCTAACCGCTGACAACCACCACCCCCAGTCACCGGCGCCAACCAGGGCATCGGCCTGGCCCTCGCCGAGGTGTGCCTCGCCAATGACGCCGCCGCCGTCTTCAGCCTGGACATCTCCGAGCCCGGCAATGACTTTGCCGCCCTCGCCGCGCGCTTCCCCGGCGGCCGGCTCGCCTTCCAGCACTGCGACGTAACCTCGGAGGCGAGCGTGCAGGCGGCGCTGGACGCCGTGGTGGCCAGCAAGGGCCGCCTCGACGGCATGGTGGCCAACGCGGGCGCCACCAAGCACCAGCCGGCGCTCGACTTCACCGCCGAGCAGGTCCGTCGGCTCTTCGAGCTCAACGTGTATGGCTCGTGGAACTGCGCGACCGCGGCGGCGCGCACGTTCATCAAGCTGGGGTGCAAGGGCAGCATCGTGTTTACGGCGAGCATGACCTCGTACCGGCCAAACAGGGTGAGTGAGCCAGAGCCAGACTGGTGAAGATGTATGTGCTGACGGAGGGTTGAATACAGGCCGCTCCTTCCGCCCCGTACGGCGCGACAAAGGGCGCGGTGCGCAACATGACGCACACGCTGGCGATGGAGTGGGCAAAGTACGGGATCCGCGTCAACAGTGTGTCGCCAGGGTTCGTCAAGACGGCGCTGACGTACTACGTGGACAAGGACCCGGAATGGGGTACCAAGATGAAGCACTACGGCGGCATGCCGCGGCTGGCGCTGCCACAGGAGCTTGGCGGCGCTTACGTCTACCTGCTGAGCGAGACGTCGACGTACACAACGGGCATAGACATTCCGATAGCGGGTATTGTTGGAGCGTGGTAGATAGAGAGGTAATGGCTGTTTAGAGAGTCAAGTCCCTTTTTATTATACATAAATACCACTTTAAAGAAGTTTAGTTTTAATAATGATTATTAGTTGAATGCATTTTAAAAGATTTACTTATATATAAAACTCCTATAAATAGTATAAATCTTTAAAAAGTAAAAGGATAAAAGTTAGTAGTAACTAGTAAATTACTAGTAACCTTTATATAATAAACGAATAAAGAAGCCTATATAGACAGCCTATTATACAGCCACAGGGAGGCCTAGAATGTAGGAGGGGCTATAAGCCACTATATAGCTTATATAAAAAGGATATATAAGGATATATATATTATAAATATACTAAAGTACTATAGATAAAGGGTAGAGTAGTCTAATAAGTGACTATAGGGCGCTTATAAGAGTATAAGAATAAGGAAGCTAATTATATAACTAGATTACTAGGGATTATAGTAATCTAATATAAATTTAAGATTATTAGGCTTATAAGTAAACTATAGTAATCTAAGTAATATAATAGAAAGATAGATAGATAGATAAAGAAGGGGATTTCTACTAAATAGTTAGACTAGATCTTTACTAATTAATCTAAGTAATAGTTTTACTATTAGGAGATATCTCCTAATATAACTTATACTATAAACTATTTATTAGTACTCTATATATCTAAACTAACTCTTTTCTTAAAAAATAACTTAACTATAGATTAAAGATTAAACTACTATTATATATAATCCCTAGTAATCTAGTTATATAATTAGCTTCTTTATTTTTATACTCTTATAGTTACTTAAAGACTACTCTACTCTTTATTTATAGTACTTTACTATACTTATAATATTTATAATAAAAATAACTATAAACTACTTTTTATTAAAAGTTATAAAGAAACTATTTAAAAAAGAATAGAAAATTATATTCTTATTATAAAGCTTATTTATACTCTATAATAACTCTTAAATTAATAATAAAAAATAAATACATTTATTATAAACTTATATAAATCTTTATTTAATAATCTGTTTTAGTATAATATTAATTACTTTTATAATAATTATACTTTTTAATAAAAAATATTAACTATACTTTAAAAGTGTATAAAGAACTTCTACTATTATAAAGAAAACAATAATAAAAAAGGACTAGTCTATTATAATCTATAAATAGTTATATATATAATTATAAAAAGGTAAGAATATAAAAAAGACCTATTAGAGAGGAACTTCTCTTTCTTTAGTAATTAATAAAGTTATTATTAAGAACTATTTACTATTCTCTAACTATGTTCTAGTAATCTCCTTGTAATCTCTCCTTCTACCTTCTTCGTACTAGCTGCATTCTTTAACATTGTGACTGCTGATGCATGAGGTTCAGAACCGCGCGCGAATGTGGTAATTGAATACCCCACACGGCGTCCTGAGAGATGACCCCTGCTGATGTGGCATGTTGGACGCCTTTCTTTGTGGATAATTGGTGAGCTGCACAGTCGGCGAGGATAGAACTTCCCTGTGGCTGCTTTCCCAGATCGTTGCTGACGGATGGTATAGACAAGAGAGTAACTCTCTATAGTGTGGCAGAGAAGGCAGAGGTTCTGCTGTAGGGAAGCGAGAGACTTTGTCACGCCAGTCAACTTCCGTACGAGGGGCACCCAGCATCGTTTCTTCTCGCTGAACAGGACTCATCCGACGGAACGGAGTACACCCCCCTCAATTCATGAGGCTATTTTCGAAGACTTGCTAAAAACAAGTTCGGTTTCGGTTTCCAAAGCGGGCCAGCTGCGCGGGTTACCGTACATCCATAGCCGCCGCTCAGTGAGTCAAACGCCAGAGTCCTTCCTTGAAATGTCGCGTAGCCTTACTACCCAGTGTGAAAGGCCGCTAGTAAGTTGATTCAACTATCTAGTTCCTATG